GGGTCTTGGAATATACTACCCGCGGCCACCGAGGGGGGAGGGGGGGGGGGTTAAAAATAGCAAAAAGTGGGTCACGTAGTATGGGTACGTTCCCTTANCTTGGAATATACTACCCGCGGCCACCGAGGGGGGAGGGGGGGGGGGTTAAAAATAGCAAAAAGTGGGTCACGTAGTATGGGTACGTTCCCTTATCTACCTCCATGGGTTCTCCTTTATCTAGCCTCAATTGGTTAGAATTATTATTTTTTCTCCCTTGACCTGAGTAATTGTCCCTATAGTTTTGGTTCCTTTGACCCGAATTATTGTCCCTGTTTCCTTTATTTACATAATTCTGTCTAACTTGTCCCGAATTATTTTCAGGGCTTCTTTTATAATTGGAAAAGTACTGGTAATTTTGCTTGAATTGGCCAGATTTATTCTCCCTGTTTGGAGTTTTTTCATTTTGCTTATTTCCATAACAACCTTTATTATTTTTATACTGTCCGTCAGTTTTTCTAAATTTTTTAAATTCTGATCGTATGCATATGCATTATGTCTATAATTTTATGAAGGTCTTGTTCTTCATAGATTTTGTCTAATAAGGTTCCCTGAGTAATTTCTTTAATTGTGTCTGTTTAATGTTTGGGTTTGAGTCCGACTGTGCAGAGCGCACAAAGAAAAATATTAAGGGATTTGTTTAGTACAAATTCAAATATAAATCCAGGTTTATTCGTTTAATGTGATTACACGTTAGAGTTTAATTGATATATATGGAGATGCACGAGTTTAGGCTAATTTGATTTGGTGATGTTGTCGCTTGGGCGGCTGTTGAGCAATTAAAAATTACCAACTCGGTGGTGGGCGGATAAGGCAAGGCGCTCGTTGCCAACTACTCTGGTGCCCGCCTGGCCAGATGAAATAAAAAATGGACACGAATTAATGGTAAGTTAAGGGCTCATGTCTCCAACATGGCGCCCCGCCTGCCTCGGTGCCAAGTGCAGCAGCTCCCTTTCGAGTTTGTCCATGATGTTTCGGGCTTCAGCAATCAGTCGCCGCAACCTCCGAGCCCGTTGCTGAGCAGAACGGCTGTGTAGCTCGGCCCTAACACTTCCCTTCTTCTGGCGCGTGGTGTCCCGCTTCTCTCGATGGAGTAGGGTGTGGTGCCCTAAGCCACATCGATGGCAGCTGTCCTCGGAATCGCAGGCTCCGGTGGAGTGTGAAGTCGCCAAACAGTTCACACAATATTTGTGCAAGCGTGCACACTCATAGCGGTCGTGGGCATCCATAGCGCGGAAAGCGGTACACAAGCGCAGCGGGTGGAGTCGGCCACACAGTCGGCACTTGGGGGAATCCTTTCGTGACCTGTAAATATACGGATTGAGGAGAGACTTTAGTACTGGGTCAGCGTATATTGTGAGGCTTTGTAATGAGTAGAAGTACATATACGCATGGGATATATATTCTAAGGGTAGACCAATGGGAGTTGGGTAGGATAGGTAGCATAAAGGTAATTAGAGTATTGTATCGGGTTTGGTGAGTATCCTAACGTTAGGCAGGGGGAAGCACACACAATTTATTTATGTTTCGAGTTATGATTCCCTGCTGGGTTTTTAAATCTACAACCCGAATGTTTTCATCGGGGCCGGAATGCAAGTGTGTGATGCGACCCAGTCGCCACTCGGTCGGAGGGAGCCAGTCATCTTTAACAACAACCAAATCTCCTTCTTGAACGTTTTTTTGGGAAGTTTTCCACTTGTATCGCCGTTGTAAGTCGTGTAGATACTCGTTCTTCCATCGTACGCTGAACTGATGATGAAGAACCTTGAGTCTCTGCCACTTATTTATGAGTGAAAGTTCTTTGGCATCCGGTTCCGGTGGTGAGACAATGGGAGCTCCTCGTAGAAAATGCCCGGGAGTAAGTGCCAATAAATCTTGCGGGTCCTGTGTCATGGGAGAGAGAGGTCTGGAGTTTAGAACCGCTTCAATTCGAACTAATAGGGTTGCGAACTCTTCGAAAGAGAATTTTTGATTTCCGGCAACTTTGGTGAAATGCGTTTTAAAACTTTTAACGGCCGCCTCCCAAAGGCCACCCATATGAGGGGCATATGGTGGGATGAAGTGCCAGGAGAATCCATGCAACGCATATGTTTCTGCGATATCAGAGGCCGCTTCCTTTAAGAAAAGAGCGAAGTCCTTTTTTAGGGCTCGCTGTGCTCCCACAAACGTCTTTCCGTTGTCCGATAAAATCTTGTGCGGCAGGCCACGACGGCCAGTGAATCGGGTAAAAGCCGCTTTGAACGCTTCCGTAGTCAAGTCGGAACACAATTCTAAATGAATGGCCTTGGTAGAAAAACACACAAAAACGCATACATATGCCTTTGTGTACGACGCTTTTCGAAGAGGTGACGTTTTGATGAGGAATGGGCCTGCAAAGTCAACGCCAGTAGTGTGAAACGGGAGAGTAAAGGTGGTTCTTTCAGGGGGTAATGCAGCCATTATTTGGGATTTCATCCGCTGTTTGTATATCGTGCATGGTTTGCAGTGAAAAATGCACTTTTTGACCTTCTGCTTCAGGCGTGGGATGAAGTATTCCTGTTGTATCATCCGGATCATGAGTTGTTTCTCAGCATGAAGCAATGTTGTGTGTAGAAAATCTAGGAGAAGAGAGCAAAATATGGAGTTATCGGGTATTATTATAGGATGCCTCTCATTGTAGCTTAGTGCGGCATATTTAAGGCGTCCATTTACACGCATTATGCCTGCATTGTCGAGCATCGGATTGAGGGTGAGCAGAGGGCTCTTCTTGCTGAGTGACTTCGAGGACTCAAGTAACGATATCGCTTCTCCGTAATGATTTCGTTGCGTTTTTGCTATCAGCTTGTACTTCACTTGATTGAGTTCCTCCTGGGATAATATAAGCACGTTGGAGATGAGTAGCCCTTTGGTATGGTTTATGAAGCGATACATGTACGCAATGACTCTGAGGGCGCGTGGGAAAGAAGAGAATCTTTCGAGTATATCCGTGCTGTCTAGGGTATGAAAAACTTCGAGTCGTCTCTCCTCTGGAGGGTTAATAGTTGAAGCTCTGGTGTTAGACGGCCAGTGTGTGTGGGCCTTGCATAGCCAGGCTGGACCTTTCCACCAGAGAGTGCTTGCGGCAAGATCTTGAGGTTTGCACCCCCGGGTGCCTAAATCGGCAGGGTTGTCGTGACTGGGAACGTGGCGCCAAGGGGCATTATTTACATTTTCCACAATTTGGGAAGTTCTGTTAGCCACATATGTTTTCCACGTATGTGGAGGCTTCTCCATCCAGGCCAGCACGATCGCGGAATCTGTCCAAAGGATTAACTCATGAGAGGGCAGATTGAGTTCGGATCGGATTTGCTTACTCAGTTTTGAGAGTAAAACAGCTCCGCAGAGTTCCAAGCGGGGCAGACTTACGGTCTGAAGGGGTGCAACCTTGCTTTTTGCGGCAAGTAGTGAGGACGCGAACGAGTTTTCGCCGAGTTGGACTCTTATGTAGACGCAGGCACAGAATGCCTTTTCGGAGGCGTCCGAAAATCCATGCAATTCAATGTACTGCTTTGGCGTGAACTGCACCCACCTGGGTATTTTTATGTCTTCTATTGCTGGAAGGCTTTCTCGGAATGAGTTCCATTTTGTTAGAGAGCCTGGTTTTACCGCTTCATCCCACCCGGTCCCTTCCATCCAGAGTTGTTGGAGGAGGATTTTCGCCATGACCATTATTGGCGATAGCCATCCTGCCGGGTCGAACAGTTTCGCTACCGCTGACAGAATTTGTCTCTTAGTTTTTGAGTTCTCAGCAGGAATGGGGTCATAAGAGTAGGAAAAGGTGTCAGTCAGAGCGTTCCATTGTATTCCTAGGGTTTTTGTAGAACTTGCGTCTTGAAACTTTAAGAAATCTACGTCTAACAGAGCAGAATCGGGGACTGATTTAAGTAAGCTGGGGTGATTTGCTGTAATTTTCCGTAAAGGAAATCCTGCTGACCTTAAAGCATCCATCACTTGTGACATCGATTTAAAAGTGGACTGTATATCGTGGCCCCCGACAGTATGTCGTCTACGTAGGTANTAAAGCATCCATCACTTGTGACATCGATTTAAAAGTGGACTGTATATCGTGGCCCCCCGACAGTATGTCGTCTACGTAGGTTTCTCGTAGTAAAATATTATGGGCGAGAGGAAATGAGCTCTTTGAGTCTTCTGCTAACTGATGGAGAGTCCTAATTGCTAAATAAGGGGCGCAGTTAATTCCAAAGGTGACTGTTTTGAGTTTAAAGTCTTGAATCGGGGAGCTTGGGGTTCTACGAAATAGAATTCGTTGAAAATCTTGGTCTTCTTCATCAACGAGTATTTGTCGGTACATTTTCTCAATGTCACCGTTAAAAACAAACTTATAGAGTTGACAATTTAATATCACTACCATTAAGTCGTTCTGAAGTACGGGGCCTGTGTGTAGCACATCATTTAAAGAGTGACCAGAATGGGACATTTTGGAGGCATTGAATACAACGCGAACTTTTGTGGTCTTGCTGTCGGGTTTTAAGACAGCATGATGGGGGAGATAAAACGAGAAATACTTTCCTTCTCTAATTATTTCAGTGGCTGAGGAAGGTGTCATATGGTCTAGTGTTACGTACTCCTCTAGCACTTCGTTATATTTGTCGCGCAGTTCGGGTTTTTGTTGCAGCGTACTCTCTACGCTTAAGTACTGCCGTTGTGCTGCCGGACGAGAATGACCAAGTGCTGTTGTGATAGGAAATTCTTGCTTGAAAGGCAGTTTTACAACGTATCTTCCATTTTCTTGACGAGTTGTGGTCGCTACATACCGGTTCTCGCAGTATTTATCCTCCCTTGAACGGGTTTGGGTAGGGTATACTTCCTCCTACTCCCAGAATTTCTTCAATAGCGTATTGAGAGCATCGTTCGAGGGTTCCATGACTTGGGTTGTGAATGACGTCACCTTTTCAGCTATTGGTCCGCTAATTATCCATCCGAATATCGTGTTCTGCGCCAGGAGTGTGCCGTCTGCAACATGATATAGTCCTTGGGTGAGAATTTGGGGTATAACGTCGCTCCCAATGACCATATCGATTCGAGATGGAGTAAAACAATTAGGGTCTGCTAAAGTTAAAGTCGCTAATTCTGGAAGGTTTGCGTATGACACTNGGTCAGGTGGGGTAAAATAATTGCCTGGGTTTGAATTTTTTGCTTTAAGTCCGCAGAACAAAGGGTTAACTCGCAAACATTTTTCGAGTTTTGGACCACTAGCCCTCCCATTCCCGATATTTCATAATGGGTTTCTTTGGTGGGTAAATTTAATATTTTTTGGATCCGAGACGTGACAAAGGTTTTTTGTGAGCCTTGGTCTATCATTGCTCGGATCTGGTGATATTCTCCCGCGAAGTAAATTGGTACCATCGCTGTGGGTAATAGGGTGGTTCCTTTGCTGCACGAGAAGTGAGTTGAAACTTTGTTGACTTTTTTGTGTGTTGGTGGGGTGTGAATGATACCTGTTGACGTGGAGGGCATGTCGTCTGCTATTTCCACTGTGGTTGTTGCCTGCGTCGTCGATGATTGGGGTTTTGGGTTGGGTTTCGAGTTTTGCTGGTTTGCTTGAAAATGGAGTAATGAGTGATGACGTTGTTGGCAGTATACACAGGTAAATTTGCTCTGACATTGACCTTTTAAGTGTGAACAAGAGAGGCAGTTTTCACAATACTTGTGCTCACGTACGAATTTGAGACGATCAGGTACAGAGAGATTCTTGAATCTAACGCAAAGTTTCATTGCGTGATTGGAGTTGCACAGCTTGCATGAAACTGGTTTCGCGGAATCTACGTGGAAGCTTTGGGTGCGATTTTTATTAATAAATGTGGAGCTGTGACTGCCAGCTCTAGGGTTGAAGGGGGTAAACTGTGGTTTGGGTTTAGTCGGTCGATACGTACCAAGCCGTTCAACCACTTCGTACCTGCAAGTGAGGAATTTGTTCATCTCTGACCATAGTGGCAACTCTTTCCGAGAGCTGAGGGATTGCTCCCACAGGGAAAGTGTCTCACTTGGTAGTTTCGATGAACACAAGTACACAAGAATGGGATCCCAGTCCTTCGTAGAAATTTTTTGTGATGCAAGAGTGGAGAGGCAATTATTAATTGTTGTTTGTTTGTAATTGCTCGCCACTTTCTCTGTAAACGGGCTGCAAATTTAGTAGGGTTTTGAGTTGGTTATCCACTAGA